TAGGACAGCGGCAGCCAATAGAAAAAGATAAATCTGTCAGGGTCACCAGCCCGGCCCTGTCCTCCATGTCCTGTTTTTGGCCATCATGTGTTGCTGGTCATTCTGTCCCCCTCTCCCTCTCCCTCTCTCTCTCTCGTAGACTTCAGTCCTTGTGTGTTCCCTTGCTTTTTGGGCTGCTGCATACTTCAATGGGTTGAGCAGTTCAAAGACAAGCAGCTGTGGGTCTGAGGTTGGCTTGGGGCCAGTCTTGCCTGTTTATAAGACTTTTTGTTTTCTAGTGTCCTTCACTTGGCGCATTTCCCCATTTCTACTGTGTTTTGTTATTTCTGTATATTCTTAGGGTCCTAGTCTCTGTGGTGTAACCCCAGTATTTGCTTTGTATTTGTATTTCTCGTTGTTCCTGCGCCTGCCTTGATTGGTTAATTGATTATGAGTTACACCTGTCCCTTGATTTCCCTGCTTTTCTCTGTGTTTAAGTTCCTGCCTTAGTTCATTTCCCTAGTGGGTCATTGTGTTTACTGCTCTTTTTGGTTTTTTTGGTTCGGCTCCCTGTGTTGCTCTTTTCCCCTCATTATTACCTTTTTCTTATTTTTGTGATTAATTCTTGCCTCCCTCACGTGTGTCTGACCCCACGTGGTCCTTCTGTTTTGGGGCTTGTCCAGTGTGTTCAGTTTCCCCAATAAACCCTTCTGCTGTCTCGGATCGTCACCTTTTCCCACCTGCGCCCTGACAAAATCTGGTTATTTACTCATCCTTGTTTGTTTGTTTGCTTATCCCCCCCCCATATTTTGACATACAGCAGCGAACATTCGGTAACATTATTTCCCAGTGTTGCGTATCGAAAAGGAAATAAAAGCAGACATTTTTCTCACAATGATGAGGTCCTGATCTCATAATTACAAGATAACGTGGATAATGTGTCTATTTGTTTTGTTTTGTGAATGCAATGTGCTTCCTGTCCCTCATGTTTGGCACCGATGAGCCACACCTGGTGCTTGTTACCCCTCATTAGTCCTTGTATACAAATCCATGATTGTTGTTGGTCCCGGTCCGGTCATTGACACCGGACCCTCTTGTTGCCTGTGCCTTTCCTTGTTCCGCTCCTCCCATTTTTAATCCCTCACGGCCCCGCTTATTCCCAGTCTCTATTCCTTGAGTTCAATAAACCCCCTTTTGTCTCACTACAAAACTACTTGTTCCTCAAGTAGTGACACCCTGTTCCTGATGATGCTTGGAGAAGCCTATAGATACCCGTGAGACACTAACTGCAATTAGAAAAAAGATGAATGGACAAATTATATGGATATTTACCCATCCATTATAAAATGCATCTGCCATTGTCTTTGGAATTTAAGGCATTTATCTAATAATCCTAAAATGACAGGAAATATAAGATCTTAAAGATGCTTAAAGTATGGAATGCCAAACATAAACTGGAAAGTGACTACACTGCTGTTCACATCTGGTCTATACCATAGTATTTGAGCCAAGCCCATAGCTAGAATCAAATGTCAGTGTGGGGGGGGTGCCTCAATAGATTTCACCGATTGGGGGAATCCCCCTCGGTAGATTTTGCCAAAACAAATTTCAAGTTATGTTCAAAGCTGTCACTTTACTAACTGGCAAGGTAGCTAACTTTTTTTTCCCACCCTTTTTCTATGTGCCTGGTTTGTCCTGCAATAACTCCCTCCCCAGGAAAGGCAATGCACTGGGATTGTAAGCAGGATGGGGACCTTAACATTGCAGGTGAGACTCTGAAGTTGACCCAGGGTTGGTAAAGTGTCTTTCTCTTCATTTACAACAACAGTGAAAATATTTGTTTATCTCCATTAGCACATGTGGTTTTGGCAAACTTGGCGTTCTGGGAAAAATACGAAACATTCCCCAAGCTGTCAGCAAAGGTTTCTGGATGGATGGCAGCGACAGTTAAAGTGTTCGTCCTGGGGCAGTGGGGCGTTTGGCACCTGCAACTTGACTGTTTGAGAGGCAGGTGTTCGACCCGGGGTTGAGGGGCTTGGTAAATTATGCCAACTTGGGGGACGGGGTATTCGCTTGGTAAATTTCACATCATCGTCGGTGATGGGTAAAATTCACAGACCGGGGCATACAATGGAACATTATTTAGCACTATACAACGTAGAACATAATCATTATGATATTAATAAAAAGCATGCCAAATACTCATGATGCAATCATTACAATGTAATCACCATAATGTAATCAACACAATGTAATCAACTGAGTATGTATTTGCACCTTATGTTAGCACCTCAAAGTTTCTGTTAGCTACTTTATGTTAGCCCTGAATGTATGAATATCCAGCTTTATTAGTGTTATATCTTATCACTATACTGAAGGATAAATATATTATACAACCCTCTAGTTAGACAATGTGCAACATTCTGAAGCTGCCAAGGTTTACTACTGAAGGGAAGGGATTGGCCTGAGTTCACCAGAAGGTCACGGCTGAGTATTTTCAGAAAACCAAGTAGAGATGGTCGTGCCACCATTATGTTCGGCCGAGGGACCAAACAGTAAAAGAAATGATGTACAAACTTATCACCTAGGGGTGTGGATCAAGGGAGAAAACAATGATTGTGAATGGTTGAAGAAATGATGATGCATAAGTGACGAGATATTGTTAAACAATAAGAAAATGCATAAAAATTGGTATAAAACAGTATTGGACACACTTGCAAGTGTCCGGCCTTGGTTGTAACCTAATTGTTGCAATAAAGACTGAATTTGGATCTACACGAGCAGCTTCTGACTTCTGATCTGGCGGGGAAGGAAAAAACCACAACAATACCTACAAACACTGTGGTTTTTCGCAGATGTCTCCTGTATTTCAAGATCATCTTGCAGCGTTCTCCTGTTTTCGTGTTTCTCCTGGGAAGCTCCCATAATTCACATAGCCCTCAAACTTTATTATGAATAATCATCATATCATCATATGATTATTCATTGATATGTTTTGTATGTTTGGTGTTACACAAGTTGGCAGATCATTTATGAAACACAGTCCAGACACACAATCCACAAACTACATACAATTTCAACCCATCTGTCACTGCAACCTGGCAACCAAAAGCTGGATTTAACACGCGTGTGCAGGTGTTCTCTGCACAAGCCAACAGGTCAGTTGAATGCTGAATGAATCGGCTAATTATATAAATGTAAAGTAATATGTGTTTTGTACCACAGTGTTGCACTGCAGTGTTTCTGTGATGAATTGATGTTGATGTTTTGTCATTTCATAAATATAAATGTAAATAAATCTGGCAATTTATTTATTTATTTGTTTGTTTGTTTTTACTTGCTTACTTACTGGCTTATCCACCACCCCACCCCCCGCAAAAAAAAAATTAAAAATCCCGTATTTTGAAACCTAAATGTTGGCAGGAATCGACCGGGGGGGTCCACTTTGATACATCTTGCCTGCTGGGCAAAAATACTGCGTGTTCGTGTCCGAAAAGAGAGGCGTTTTCCATCGTTCGGGCCATGTGGCCCTAATATTTTCTAATTCCCTTGAAATTGTCTGGCGTTGCGTAAACCAGATGATTATACCCGCCTCTCAGCAATTTACGATAAGTTTTTGTGGACCACCTGGCACGTAGCCCAAATTTTGTTGCGTTTGAACCTCAAAATTTGCTTTAGCCAACTGGTTGGAAGCAGACGGGAGGGTGGACGAGGGGTCTCACAGAGGGGCCGACGGAGGGGGGTGTCCGTCTTGGTGTTGCCGGGGGAGGGGGGGGTTTGTAAAATCTAAGGAGGGACCCCGCCCTGGTCAGAAAAATCAATCGAGGGGGACCTATATGACCGTGGGAAGCACTGTCATCACCCGGTAGCTGAAGACCGAGGAAAATTAAAAAGACTTCGACTGGTCGTGCTAACAGTAGGCAGAATTCCCAAGTTTCGCTACACATATTCTATATTGAGTTATGTTTCACATAAAGACGGGCATCATAATGAAAACTATATATTGCAGCTACAATTTCACTATCAATTCTCCATATGGCCGTGAGACTTGCCAGTTTTACTTAGGAGCAGTATTACTGATTTTATGCGCTAAAATTAGTTAATCTTTTTCGGAAAATTTGTCCCCCGCCCCCAGTGTAAAAAGGTGTTACTACAGAAACCAAAATTTCCTTGCAGATATTACATAGGAAGGACGGTACGTGCAGCCGTTTAAATTCCATTTTGAAAAAGTTCTCAAATTGCTTAGCCTATAGTTGAGATGCATAAAACCCGCATTTCACGTAGCCTGGAGTCTATCCAGCCAAAGAAACGCAAGAGAAGTCGACTCACCTAAATTCATGTCGGGAGATTGAGGGAGGAAACCCAAGCTACCTGTATACGGGGGGGCACAAGCAAGCGCAACATGCAAGGAGCGCGGATGGGATTCGAACCTACAATCCTTGAGGCAAAACTCAACAGTGCAGCTCACTACGCCGACACATCATCCACGCAAAGGGCCATCTGGTATGAGTGACAAAGTGAAATAAATGTACAGAACCCTTTTCATACTGTACATCGCATCTTACCTGCCAATTTCCGAACACCTCTCGGAATCGGCGGCCACCGCTCCGTGCTGGAAGTATCCGTCTGAGCACTTCGTCTTCGTGAAAAGCACGACGCACGCAACGACGGCAGCGACGACGACGAGGAGCAGAAAGCTCAAACAGCAGCACAGCCTGAAGGTCGCGGATTTGCTCATGATTGCAGTCGCTCACGCTTCACTCACGCTGAGCGACTAAACTTCCTTTTATGAAGCCGGCGTTAAGATCCGCCTACATCTCACATCTACGTTCGTATGCGGGGCTGGACTGGCATTAAAAACCTGGCTTTTGGGGCTCCTCACGAAAAATATAGAGAGCTGAGGGGGTCCCGCGCGACGAATTTTGCCAGCTCACAAGCCAGTCAATCTACTGGGAAAATGCCAAGTATGCCAGCCAGTCCACTGGGAAAATGCCATTTACTGTATGCCAGCCACGTTCATACAGTATGCTCTGATTAGGGTGTTGATCTAATTAAATGAATTGCACACTTGTCATACGCTGTACTCTGCATATTGACGATTTAGTTGTCAGTGACGGCTGTTTCAGACATCTATGGGCTTATTAATAAGGTTTTTAACATATCTGAAAAACGCGGACAAATGGTAAGGTAGTCTGGATATCAGTGGCAGGAACATTATACTCGTATTCTTATTTTGCCATAATTATAGTCATAATGAATGGTGGGTGTGGGCTAATTACGATTCATGTAGAGTTGGTAGCTATTTTTTTGGGGGTGTGATTGATCATGTCACCGACACATGATGTTTGTATCGTAAGACCAACAGACGAGATACAGCTTTCTTTGGCAAAGATGGCAAGTATGACTCCAGGTCCTGGTTCCTCTCACTATGTTTGTTTGCCTGATTTCTTGCTTTATTTTTTGCCAAAATCCAACTAAGAAAACATTGCCTGCCAGGGATAGTTAAGCTCTTGCAGAGTGCCAGCCTAAAAGGTAATTATAGCCATGAATGGAAGGCTTATTATCAGGTCTGATTTGCCTCAAGCTCCAAATAAATGTTTTTTACTTTTGTACTGTGAGATTATTATCACTAAATTGGGTTTTCCATCAGCAAACAGAGCAAAAATTTTCCAAAAAAACTGAAATTGGTTGTGCCTCAGTTTCACGCCGAAAAGGACATATTAGCCCTTATTTTCCACACCATTCTTGGTCTTTGGGTTCAGATGAGGACTTATGAGAGAAAAAACAGTTTGAGTTCTTCCTTAAACGTAAGATTATTGGTCAGAGAACTAGGTATTACAGAGGTGGATGATGTCATTAAAACCTAATGTCCAAGAAGGGCAGCATCTCAGCGTGAAGCTAGCAGATTTGGTCCTCCTTCTGGTGCAAAGGTGAGGTGTATGTCTGATCCATTAAACTGTACACAGATGGGAAGGTGTTAATCCTTCCCTCTGTCTTTCATAAAGCTCATCCAGTACTGGGCCTCAGTTTAAGCTTTGATTAATCTGACATGTATGATATGTGGCCCAGTGGCCGAATGGATTTGGGTTCCGCTCCTGGGTTGTGTCCCATCTGGGTCATAAGGAACAGCAGGTCAGGGAGCAGGGCCTGCGATGGGAAGGTTGCTGGTTTAAATTCCAGTGTTGGCAGAGTTATTTACTAGTTGGGCCACTGAGCACAGCCCGAAACTCCCAGTTGCTCCAGGGGCTGTCTGACCCTGCTTTCAAAAAAAAAAAAAAAAGATCACTTTGGATAAACGTGTCTGTTAAATAAGTTCAGTTGTAGTGTCTCTTATTCTGTGATATAATATTCGCCTATTGTAGGTAGAGGAATTACTCACAATATAACATAATTGTGTAATATTACATTTACTGAAGAAAACAACATCACCCAATTTTGTGATTGTGTATACTTTGTAGAAAATATTTATTACTATTTTGATTGACCTGTGTAATGTATATGAAAATCATAATCGAAAATGTCGAACTTCATTCCATCAGCAAAACACTCATTCAACAATACAATAAATTCATAGATATGGAAATTAGCCGCAGAAGCAAAGATTTACCTCTGAAGTTGCCTTGTTTTGTTTTCTTTCATTCATCGGCATTTTTATTTCATTCATCAGAACCAGGACTCCCTGGAAGAAGAGTTATTGTAACTCAATGGGACCTTCCTGGTTAAATAAAGGTTAAATAAATAAATGTCTGCGAAGGTAATGGATTAAAAACATTATTTGGTTTGAGCTGCCATCTAGAGACATAAAGCAGCCGGTACACTTGACCTGGCGATTACAGTCTTTCTGCATCGCTAAAGCACATTTCCTGAAACCTTCCATTCTTTTCTCAAAACACTAAACACAAAACCCACTTTTCAAACTACAATAACAAAACCTTTGACTCGTCTTGCGAAATCGAACAATCTACTCAAAACTATTTTTTCTTTGTTCAAAACCAAACAGCTTTCAGATCACACATCAGGCTAGTTTTTACATAAACCATACTCAACACTGTCAGCAGTCATTACAGGCTGCAGCAAAAAAATTCTAAACAATACCAGTCAAAACTGTTACTGGCATAAAGAGAAACATGCTCACTGTAAATATGGGCTTCTGCATCTTGAGTTGAAAATTTGGTAACCAAACATCTATAGTAAAAACATTGTTGTTTAGCTAGAATGAGTATATACAATTATACTTCAAGCCAAAGGTAATGTTTGCAGTACTTAGTACTGCAAAAAGTAACTGTAAGGAACAAAGTAAAACATCCAGATGAGAGGCATATTACAGTAAAATGTTGTGCAACTGTCAAGCCAGAATCAAGGAAGAATATTCATTTTGTCCCATCACCATGTCTCATGGCTGGGTCAGGACAGAGAACTTTGTCTGCATCACAGGAGATGTTCTCCCTCGCTGGATGATGCAGGAAGAATCCTCTGTGTGACCCATTCGTACATCGAAACTCAACTCACCTATGGTACTTATGGTACTTATGGTACCTGCACTCTCATCCAGCACAAACATTCTGTGTTCTGGTCACTCTCTGGCTTCTTCTTATGCTTAGAAACATGTGTCATCACCTTTAAATGCTGACTAGTGCGTGCCGGCTGTTTAATTTCTGTGGCCTGTGTTTTCTGTTTTGCATTGAAGTTCACTACAGTGCAAAATGTGTTTAGATGAATGAGAATGCAAAAAAAGCTGACTCAGATCTTCAAATTGTGTCTAACTACAGTAGGTGAACACTGTTTAAAGTTTCACCAAATGAGTGACTGATTCAATAAATGACTTTTGGTAATTGACGGTTTTGTTCCCAGATTGAGGTTTAGTGTTTTAGCAATTCGGAAAAACTGTAAGAATTATTCAAAAATTGTTTGTATTTTGAAACACTTAAAACTACCTAATATGTGATAAGAAATTAAATTCTAAATTTGACATTTGACAAGAATTCACCAGTTTACATATGGCAATTCTGTATATAAATTAACTGTACATCTTACGTGTTCTGGATAGAACATAAACAGGACACCAAATATACATTTTAATTAAGCTAATAATTTTCTGTGATGTTTAGGTTCATGTATAAAATGTTGTAAATCATGGCTAGCATAGCTCAAAGACACTGAGCCCTTGTTCTAGATAGGTGGTTAGGGAAGACAGATGGGATGGATGGGTAGTTGCAATGGGAGACTTTTTAAAGAGGAGGTGATTGTTGGTACTCGACAGGAATTTTATCGACCAAGGCAACTCAATTTGTCAATGGTTTCGGAGCAATAGAGTTTATTGTGAAGTCAGCGTAACCAAGGCAACAATTAATCATTCGGAAGGAGCAAGAGCAAGCAGAAATGTGTACTCTGATATTGCAATTTGTATTAAACATTGAACAGGAAAGTTGTTGCAGTTGACTGGAAATGTTAGCCTGGTGAATGAGTAGCCAGTTTTTGCTTAAAAACAGTCTGATAGGACCCATAGCATGCAGGATAACATCAGGCTTTTTTACCATCTGGTTGCTGTAAGCAAGCCATTTCTCATACCTGTCTGGAGTTCCAGCAGTTCAAAGAGTATAGGCTATGGACTAGCGAATACTTCCAAAGCACAGTACCTGCAATGTGTTGCTCCTTAATGGAACAGAGCCAGGAGGGGCGTTGGTCAGGATTACAGAACTGCCCCCCTCAGAGAGGAAGGCATCTCAGAGCTCAGCACTGGTTAACGTGACATACATGATGTCCACACATTAGACAAATTCATGAAGCACTCTCGATGATTAATGGGACTGCAGACTCCCCATGCATTAACACAATGTCGGTGAATAATTCAAATAAATCTTTAGATCATGTTTCAAAACAAGAGTGAGTTTTCCTGTGAAGTTCCACACTCCTAATTTGAATACTTCATTTTCATCGGCAGACTTGTGTTCATTTTGACTCTGCAGTTTAATAAAGGTATAACGCTTGGAAATGTTTTTCAGAAAGGAGTAGACAAGCAATGAACTAGACAACAACACTGAAATGTGCATAGTTTTGTTCATATTAGTAACGATGGGGAGCAGGGAAGGAGTGGCAATGCATGAAGCGGCTTTTAGACACCAAAGTGCAACAAAAACACACACTAACCAGAAACAAAAGGACCACAAGTGGTCAAAACATAGGCAGGCAGAGCATAAGAAGAGCCAAGGGCTAGACTGAAACACTAGGGTCACCAACCACAAACCACAAGCAGGACCACAGGCACAGAGGTAACATCCACAATGACTGACAAGGAACAGGGCAAGAGAAGGCACATATATCCTGATAACAAGGCCCACATGAGGGAGTAGACAATGAACCCGATGTTAACAGAGAACAGGGGAGCGTAATTAGGAACAAGAGGGGGGGAGAAACGGTATGACCTCTGCTGGCCAAATGAAAACACTACAGGATTGACTGAGACAGACTGTGACACTATTCATACAGAAGGCTTGAGAATCTGAGACACATATGTAATATGGCTTTAAAAGTATCTAAATAATAAATGATAAACAAATCATATGACATTAATTTTAGATACACTGTATGATCATTTTGCGACTCCTCCAACAATTATAATTAAGAGCTCAAACGTTTCCATCGATGTAAACTTCCTTGACACCAACGCAACCTTCATAAATGTACATACAGCCATGTGTTGTAGAGGAAGTGAAATAATTGAAATTCTTGGTAAGGGTTTCTCGCAAACTTTGCCTTGGGTTTTTGAAAAGGTAGATCTGTCCCAGCCCAAGAGTATCTAAAGCCCAACAGTTTTGTTCAGCTAGATTAGTATTTGCTGCATGTACTTCAAACAGCGGCTTTCTAGAAGTCTGCTTGTAGTTCAGAACAGGATGTATTACACAAGCAATAGTTTCCTTGATAATTATCATTTCTCCTGAGAATCCACTAGGCTAGTAAGTATGTGTTGGCACAATAATTTGTACGGAGGCAGTAATACCTATATTCTTATACATATATAAGATATATACATAATATATATTCTTGGCTAAAAACACGCTTACTCAAATAAGCAGAGAGACAACTATAGAAGCATGGGCAATGCAAGGGCGAAGACGCTTTGTATCCTGGCTATGGTTGTGATTATCGGTCTGTTTTTTACGGTCTTCAGGAGGAATGACCGCAAAGCCGCAGTTACGGCAGATTCAGAGATATGCTCCATGGTCGGCAGGTGAGAGCCTTGGTCCGTTCTCTGCCTTAATAATTCTGGAAGAATGCATTTCACATACAAATAACTGCTCCTTCAACTTGTGCGGTGTATTAAGTGTGGTTCGTACTAAAAGCACTGGATAATTGGTTTCTGATGTAATTAAGCTGTAAAGCAACCGCGACCCTTCAAAATTAAACTCTAGCATAAATATTTATGTCCGCAAAACGATTTAAAGAATGGATTGACACAACGATAAAAAGCTTTTTTCCTTAAATGTATATGTTTCGGTTTCAATGGTCGTATGTTACTAGGGAATTTTCTAGGACCGGAGACCGATCATTGCTTATAGCCAAGCACAGCTATCGGGACCCGGGAGTCTTTGTACAAACGAAAAAGACGTGAGACAGATTTTGAGATTTATAAAGAAAAACCTATCCTGAAAAAAACATCACTTTTACGAATTTACCAGAGCAAGGGTTTGGCTTTCTAGACTGTCATTTTGATACACAGGGTCGCAAAAATCCGTCATAATTTATCCTATTATTACCGGTCATCCTAAAGTTCATTTTAAATGATAATTAGATATAGTTAATAGCATGTAATTTTCATATTTAATCAAAATGTCAAAATGATGGATGTCCTTCATATCTTTCCGTCATTGCAGAAAATATTTGCAACGCAACAGGCAAAACCCAGCTATATGAATGAGTATTCAATCGACTAAATGAGATCGATCTGTTCTGACTTAATCTGTAATGTTACCGATGTTTTTGATAGATGTTTTTAGTGCCCAACCGCTGTATCTGATGGTAACTTTGACAGATGGTTGCTGTAATCATTTAAGTTGCAATTATTAAAAAATTATGTGTTGGGCTGGAGCAGCTCTGTGGTTATGGATTCAGAAGGTTACTGGGTCAGCAGAGTGATCCCACCATTGGGCCCATGAGCAAAACCCTTAACCCCAGTTGCTTCAGGGACTGGCTGACCCATTGGCCTCCTGAGATGCTTTTCCATCACTCTCTGGTCAAACTCCTCAAAACCCATGTCCACTGTGTTTAAGTCACGTGACCAGGCCATGAGATACGACACTCCTTTCTAGGCCACTTGGCATGCCCCCAAACTTCAACATGCATGTGGCATCTATAACAGGGTATGCCCTATTATGCAGTGCTATGCCAGATATGTCAGGAGATACTGATGTAGTATGTGGAACTCAAATTTAATGAATCATAAGTTGATCCAGACCATCGAGCTACTATTTTTGTTAGTGTCATGTTGGCATCACAAGAGACTGGTACATTAATAGAATTAAATGATTTTGATTGACAAAAGTAACTTAAGTCATACCATTTCTATGTTGGCATCTACTGCTGTATGCTGTACTGTATTTGATAAATAAGCATTCCCATTTCCTTCCTAAGCACTCACACCTGTTTCTCATCTGATCCTCGCTACCCTACTATTATAGGTGTTGTTCCCTACTTCGGTCATTGTTAATTCTGTAGATGTTATTGTGTCGGTTCCCGCTTGTAAGTAATTAATCCTTGTATTTTCTGTTACTGCTTACCCAACGTTCCCATGTGTTCAGGTCAGCGTTGATCTCTCCTGAGTTTTCCTCCCTGCTTCCTGTTTTGACCCCTCGAGCTCATTATATTTATTACCCAAAGTCCCATTCGGTTTCCCTTTGCTGCATTTGGAATGTCGCTCCTTCCCCGTCGTAAGTCATGACATACACAAATAAACAGAAAATCAATAAATTCCTCTTATCATTTTTATATTTACATCAAAACGCGGGTTGATGGTAGACCTATGAATTGTCTGCACGAGCACGGTCATTTCGCTGGTTTACCTGCAGTTCCCTGCTTTACATTGGGTGTCGTCTTTTCGCGGTTTGTTCAAAATGCTGCTTGCACTGCATACGAAGTTTCCATGAATATAAGCATTGTTTCCTCATCAGATTTTATTAGAGAAATCTGGGGTTTAGTGTAAAAAAGCTTTCTTGCATACGAAACTTTAATAAACGGGGCCCCAGGGGCATCATATATATATATATATAAAATATGTTCGCTTGTCATCTCTCTCGATATCTCTCCACTTTCTCTTTGGGACGTTTTGTAGGGATGTCGGACTTTACCGCAGCGGCAAAGTGTTACCATTCAACACATTCTCTTATTTTTAACTTTATTGTCATTGCAAGTACAAGTAGCCTAATCAGACAACGAAATGCATGTTGACATATATAATCCAAAAATGCAAAATCGTATAAAAGTGCTAGAAACAGCTGTACAATATATACATGTGTGAAAACTAAATAAATAATGTATGTTTATACAAAATTTCTCTGCTTGGTTTGTTATTTACAGTACAGTCACTATTGTCAGACTAAGTAAACAGAAAGGCCTGGTTTGTATATTATATGAGAAGGCAGCTCCAAACCATAAGGCAGTGACTATTATTCGTGGGCCGGAACTGGACAGGATCTCAGGCTCATCCATGTACACACATTGACAAGATAAATTGGAATCATCAAGGGGAATTTGCATGCATCTGTCTACACCAGGTTTAATAAATCAAAGTTTTTTGCACACACACACCGTTTCTTTTCAAGCATATGAATTTTTTTCACAAGTCCTTGATTTTTTCTTGCAGAGACATCTTGCAAGAAGGAGGTTCGGCAGTAGATGGCGCCATTGCAGCCCTTCTTTGCACCTCTGTTGTGAATCCGCACAGTGCTGGCTTTGGAGGGGGTGCCATATTCACTGTGATGGAGGAAACTGGTAAGGACGGGGCAATTGATGTGTCTGCCTTTGTGAAGACTAGTGTTATGCAGAGACTTTTGAGGGACAGGTGCTCAACTGGCCCGGGGCGGGGGGGGGGCGAGTTGGGTTGGGTGGTGGTCCTTTGTAAATTGAGCATGATCGTTGCTGCAATATTTTGGACATAAGGGGCAGCAGAGCCTCAACCCCTTCCCACATGCCTGGTGAAGACCCTACAAACTGTCTGCCACCTGAACCCAGACTCCCGTCAGTGGGGCGTACAGTACAGTACCCTAGGTGGGGATGGCAGTCTGGACCAGAAGTCTCATAAAGGGGGGCATTTGGATTTTTCAAATGTTGGAGAAGGAAGAAATTGTATTGCAAAACTGCAACAGATATAGACCAAACACAGTCTTTTTTACAGTGGTGCCCGCAGTTCATGAACACTGTGGCCTACGAACAATTTAGTTCGCGATCAAAAATTTCGTGAAAAAAAATGAATTGGTTCGCGTACAAAATTTGGTCGACGAACAGATTCCTCGACCAAATTCCTTTCTTTTGTATTAGGGAAGCACCAGCAGGACACAAGGGCTAAGCACTGTTAATAAACAGCGTGACTTCCCCAGCTAGCAAGTCTCCATGTCTCTCTCTGCTCCCGCGATGCCTCGGTCCGCCCGTCGCCACAATATATTGTGTTTTTCTTTAAAGTTTTTACTATAAAAAACAGAATCGAATTCCAATGCTTTCTTATGGGAAAAATTGCCTTGGTTCGTGTACAGATTGGTTCACGACCACTTTCCTGGAACGGATTGTGTTTTGCAAACCGCAGGTAGGCCTATCACTTTATCACTTTAGTTAAAGTGTATTAACTACAACTTCTTTGTAGGCAACGTCAAGATCATTAATTCCAGGGAGACGGTGCCGGTACTGTTTAGACCGGACCTGTTAAAGTACTGCTCAAATCAAGAAAAAGGTAAAAAAATTTCACGTAAAATTTCAACAAAATATATTTAATAAATGACTGTACATTACTGTGCAAAAGTCTGAGCTAGTCAGAGTTGAATGATGGTTTAAAAATCAGGTTGGTGTAAAATTATGATATTATGTCTGTTAAAATGTGTCAGCTGAGCCATTTCAAAACCCCGAATGTCATGCCGGTATTTACAGCCATCCAATGTATTTGTCGACCACTAGCATACCATGTTTATTTAATCAGTACCTCATGTAGTTATTTAACTAAGCAATTAAAATAATTAATTGAGCTGGTGGCGAAATTTAAAAATACATGGAACAGCTGTGGTGCCCCTGAGGAGGGGTTTGGGACCCAAAGCGATGTTCCTCTAGACGTCCAACAAAATATCAGTAACTATTTTGGAGAACAGAAGAAGTTGTCACTCTTTATTGTGTTAATATTCATATGTTCTATGGTTAAATTTTTGCTTTTTTACACTTACCACCCAAGTAAATACCTTTAAACATTTTCTTTGACTGTTTAAGTCCTTTGCACAGTACTTCATATTTCCAGGAAGCCTCTCATTTAAGTCATATTTCTCACAGAAATTACATATAAATCTGGAAGAAAAGTTTTGAACGCAGCAGGCCAATTAGATTACTTTTTTGTTGGCATGATGTCTGATGATGTTTTTATTTCTTCTCTTTTTTAATGTACTTTAGCTGTATTATCCTCTTGCCGTCTGTGGAACAACAAGCTCAGAAACATGCCTCTGTATCGCCCCCCTCAGGCAGCCGGTGGATAGGCGTTCCCGGACAGATTCGTGGGCTGGAGCAGGCTCACAATTTGTTCGGGAAGCTGCCATGGGCCAAGCTCTTTCAACCCGCCGTCAGAATGGCCCGGGAGGGGGTGCCTGTGTCCGCTGACCTTGACAGGATACTTCGCCGGAAAGTTGCTGGAGGGTCACAGTTTTGGTACAGGATCAGAACGCTGCAAAACTGTTTACCTCTGGCTTCTTAACTGACGCAATAAACTTACAATTTTGACCAATTTATACATAGAGATGAGTTACCAGTGCGAGGCAGGCTAAGTACCTTGCATTAAGATGCAAGAATAAGCTTTCTTATGTGCTGGGAACTCATAAGCACTGGGTTACAAATCTCTATCCTAATCACTGTGCTCTCCCCATCCCTGCAATATATGCTGTATTTTTACCTAAAACAGAGAGAATAAAGACAAACAGAAAGTAATTAATTCTTTTCATGTCTGCCTTGCTCAGTCAGGCCAGATGTTATAAAGATGTTGCAGGGTTGAACATAACTTTTCATGTCTAAGAAACCATGAATGTATGTGTTTATGGAGACAATTTTGCGTGTGAACGTACAGCAGAATACTTGTTTAGAGTCATCTACCAATAAAAACCAGGTCTTGTGACTAGAAAGCAGTAACACAGAATGTGCATGACACCTTTATAATGACAGGAAAGCAGATCCTGGGATTCCTGTCACATGACCTGGGCACCTTATTCGTTTATATACCATTCCAGTGACATTCTCTGCTATGGGAACAAGACAGTCTTTCGGCAAGGAGCCGTCATGAGGTTTCCAAAGCTGGCAGAAACCTTTGAGATCATAGCAAATTATGGGGCCAATGCTTTCTACACGGGCAGAATCGCGCGTGACTTGATCCAGGAGATAAAAGAAGCAGGTAGTTTAAATAGCAGCATTTTGCAGTCATGTTCTGCTGTATATGTAGAAACGTTGTTGTGTATATGCATGTTTTTTTTTTTTTAAATTAATGGCTTAATGAAATTGCAATATTCAAAATAAAGGATGAAGGTGCAGCGATTCATGTTGCATCGGAGTAGACTTAAGTATGCCAAATATACAAAATGATTAGATATTTTTTAGGTGGAACTTTAGCAATGGAAGATCTGAGGTCCTTTCAGGCCAAAGTAGCAGATGCATGGACTGTTCCAATAGGAGAGTTTATCATGCACATCCCACCACCACCAGCAGGGGGAGGTATTCTTAGCCTCATTCTTAACATCATGAAAGGTGAGTTGTTCAATCAAGTTAAGTTTTGTACAACGTGTCACCAATAAACTGCTGATCAGAGAAACACCTGATCCAATTCTCATATATAGTAATAAATTAAGCAGAAGTAGAGCTTCAGAACATTTGGATTTCATGAAATGTGTAGACGTGTAAATTGTAATCCATCATATCTATATTCTCCAGATTCTTCATAATTGCAATGAGGATAATTACTTAAAGCTTTTTTTATTGCACACCTTTTCTTCCCCATCAGGGTACAAACTCAGCCCTTCCTCCCTTGAGGGTGACCAAAAAGCTCTAACCTACCACCGCTACATCGAGGCCCTCAAATTCGCAAACGCTCAGTGGAAGAAGACTGGTGACCTAGACTTTGATCCTACAGAAGTAAGGAACAGTCACTGTTGCGAAAGACTCTCAACACTGGGGCCTGATCTTACTGCAAATCAAGTGGCACAATATTCGCTTGTTTCACTATCCTAGCGGCGGTATAACTTTGGATGACTTCTTCATATATTGTCCTTGTCAGTAACAATTAGTTTATCCTTTTATTATTTTTCCTTTCCTTTTATACTTATACAACATTTATTTCCTATGACAAGGACAGATCTACCTGAATGTCTCAAAACAATAATCTTGGATTAAACTTCAATGAAGTTTTATTGATTTATCAAAACACTGAAACACAATATTTGTGTTAACAGCAGTTCTAGCATTTCTATTAAAACATTAAGTCATCTGATGTTTATCACCCTCATCTGGAGAACAGGCATCAGATAAGGGTAGCAATTTTTTTCTCAATTTCCGAGGAACTTCCATTGATAAGTGACGAGTTTGCAGACAGAGTCCGGACCGTGATCAGCGACGCAATGGCCGAAGGTCTCCAAGACGACAACATCACCCTCACATTGGACCCTTTTGGTACCACCCATGTGTCAGTGCTGGCTCCTGATGGCACTGCAGCATCGGTCACCAGCACCACCAACCAACAGTGAGAGAGAGAGACATTCTGCTTCATTGTTACCCAGTTTCAGTGATACATCGTCTTCAGAAACAGAAAGAAATTCAGGTTCTTTTTTAAAGTCAATCCGCTGTGTTACCTAGGAGTATAATTTCAGTATCCTGGTGTGAGCATAGAGTTAACCCTCTGCTGAGCCACTGTGGTGCGATGCAGTCATGATTTCTTGCGTTTATGTCAGCTACCATCAAACTCTCCCCCTCCCATGTAGCGTTACCTCGATTGCATATTCGCAGAAAACAGGGGTGACCCTTAACAGTGAACTGGCAGGTTTCTGTTGGAAAAAGAATCGCATTCTTTCCGGTAAGATAACGCCTCAGTTCCTTTCCCAGTGAACATTTGCATCTTTGCGTCCTAAGAGTCGAACATAGGAAAGACTGCTTGTATAAACATGCTACAGTGTATAAACAGTGGTACGGTCTTGTGTGTACGTGAGATAAGAGGTGGGGTTTTCTATTTCAGGGGAAGAGCCTCCATCCTTAATTGCCCCATTGATAGTCTATTCAAAGTCCCAGAAGAAGACGTTAGTTATTGGAGCATCAGGGGGCACCATGATCACCACAAGACTGGCCATGGTAAGTGTGCTGTCTGAGACACATAACTGTCACATTGGAAGCAACCTCATTGTCAAAATAATAACATTGACAATAACAACAGAAACCATAGGTTCTAGTACCTCTTATGAAGTCCTGCTTCTAAACCAAATGACCACAACTCCACCACAAGAAAATTACAATTCTACTGAAAAATTTGTCTCTGCTTCAGTGGTTAATAAAACCAAGCTTAACCACTTTTTTTTTGCCCCAATTACTCACACCAGGCAATGATGAACCACCTCTGGTTTGAAAAGAACCTCAACGATTCAATTTCGTCTCCTGTGCTGATCCTGAATCAGAATGGCACAGTACTTTACGAGCAGGGGTTTGATGAGGTAAAACTTTGTTTCTTTTCTTATTGCCTTTTCAAACACATCCCCCACTTCCTGTTTGCCTTACTTAATTATTTTAACACTATAATTTGACACACAATATGAAAAAGGAGCAGTAATTGAATACGGCAAATCTGTGGTATTCATGTTTCCCAAATGCCTGCTGAATTTCAATTCTGTATTTTGTGGAAACCACCTTAATATAAATAGATCAGGCAATTAGCAGATTAATCACCCTGATTAAGCCAGGGAAATGAGTTATGGACTTCCCACCAGGATGCACACAACCTAAAGATCTTAATTTGCACATGCCATTGACGTTAGCAACTCAGTTGCTGTTTTACTATGATGGAGCAAACACACCATTAAGTAAATTGGAATGGACTTTGCAACACAAAGGTTGAGGTTTTTAAATCCCATTAAGGCTGCTACTGTGCTCAAGAGAGGAAATTAAGTAGTATTACTGCAGCAAAAAGGCAGATGGTAACTGCAAGTGGCTTTGAGTGAAAGTATCTGTTATGCGGCTAAATTATAAACGTAAATGTGTTGTGTGCAAATAAACTGTGCAGAATAACACGTTCAATACGGCGCAAGGGAGTGTTCCGGGAAAAGGTTATAACGTAAAACACAGCAGCAAAAGCCCTAATTAGCGCTGTGCGTAACCTCTCTCTCCAATGGTGTCATTTATGTGGATGATTCCCAGCGTGGCGCTGCAGCTGTCTGTCGGCATTTCCTCCGTCTAATCTTTATTTTATTCAGATGTCACAAGAGATTTTTCTACTGTTCCAGAATTCTGCTATTTTCGGCCACACGGCCATTGTTTTTTTTTTTTTTTACTTTAAAATGAAATGTGTTTTTATTTAGCAACCTTTAGTGAATCAGCCTTTCACAATTCTGTAGTCCAAACCTACTCATTGTGATTCCTGCTGATTGGTATCCCTGCTGATTGTAATCAATGCTGACGGCGGTACCTGCTCGGCTCTGCAAAGCCACGCATTCAGTGCTGGAAAAAATAGCAACTGATGAATTTCCCTGGCTGCTGTGACATGGGTAATATTCAGCGGTTGCGCTCTCTCTCTCTCTCCCTAGTCTGTTGTCAAGAAGCTGAAAATGTTTGGACACGACATGCAGGAAACGGAAAGAGTGTATAACGCAGTCAATGCCGTGTTGAAGGAGGGATCTTACATTTCTGCCGTGTCGGATGCCAGGATGGGTGGCAAAGCGGCTGGATTCTGAACTAAATGTGGCAGCTGAATGAAAGTTCACCACTATCATGCCAGTTAATATTCACTGCTTTTAAATCATCTAGTTACATTAAACGTTTTGTCACAATCCATTTATGTCATGTTCCCATTTGGCCAGCAGAGGTCTCTACCGTTCCGTCTCTTCCCCTTCTTGTTCCTGATCACCCTCACCTGTTTCCTGTTGCCTGTAATACACAGTGTTTGGCTCGTAATCAACCTGTCCATCGCCAAGTCTTTATTATCCATGTATATACAGCAGTGGGTAAAAATTAAGAGGCCACTCTATATTTTTAAACAAATCTGCATTTTAAAATCCTGGTTTAATCCTGGTTTTGCTGGCAGAAGGCTATGCTGAGCAGCAGGTTGGTTCCAGGTTCGAAATTTCTAAGACAGCAGAACGCAAGAATAAGGTGAAGCAGGAGACACTGGGAATGACCAAAAACCAGCCAGGTAAAGGGCGGAAGTGATATTCTAATGCCATAGATGACTGTTATAAATTATAGGATGACATCAATTGTCCTTCAGAAGGAATGGGAAACATTACGTGCATGTGTGAAGTGCACTGTTGGGACAGCTCACATCAGGCTCCTAGAAGCAGGACTAAGGTCCCATAAAGCAAGGAAGAAGCCCTTCATTGATGAGAAACAGAGAACCAGACTGCAGTTTGCAAAAAAATATATACTGTATGTACTTATATTCACGGACGCGCACCCATAAATTGAGTCATGAGTGAAACAAAAAATTGTGCTGTGGTCTTTTAATTTTTTCCAGTTGTAATGCACCCGGCTCTGTTCTTTTCCTTTGTTGGTCATTGTTGGCACAGTATGTTAGTCTCCTGCTTGATCCTCAACGTGTTAGTGCGGCATGTTAGTCTCTTGCTTGATCTCTCACAGTATTAGTACCGTTGCCCCTGCCTGTATTTACTCTGTTTCTCTATGTCTACTCCCAACCCTTGTTAGTTCTTGTTTCACCCTCCTGCTTTTGTTATGGTCCCTCGTGCTCCTTTGGTTACTTGTGTTAGTTGTATTTAATCTCCTAATATTTATATTTAATTTCTATAAGCTGCCCTATGGATCATCCCTCCTTCCCTACATTCTTGTGTAACACTCTTAGCTTTCATTAGCAGAAGTAACGCTGAAGATTTGCACTAATGTTTTTAATTGCACAGATCTGACTGTGGGTATTGCTGTTTATAAAAGCTGTAAAATAACCGGATATGTAACAGGGGCATGGGTAACCCTGGCTAATTCAGTGGCCCGGCTAGTGTTGGTGCCAGAGAGAGGCACCAAATGGAAGCCTGTGCCCCACCCTCCCAATAAAAAATAACTGCTGCTTGCCAAGAACTTGTACCCCAGGACGACAACTTTTCCCCTCCGCCCGCAATGTCACCCTGGTAGTGCCGCTGCTCCTTGCACGTGCCCCCAGTGAAAAATTTACAGGGGCCATTGATTAGATAAAATTATCGTCACCTGTCTGTGTTATGTAATGACCGACCCCCCAGTCCCTGACAGTCAATTTTGGGGTCTCATTTGCAACCATAAACAGTTGAAAATACAGACTGAAAAAGCACGCCTAAAAATAACAAATTTAAGATATTTTAGAGGATGGATGGATGACTCTCTGTTTCCATACACAAATACCTTCACCCATAGACATTGTGTTAAAGATGTGTGGGCCTATTTTCAAATAAAATGTATTTATTTTATAAGATCGGATTTTTTTATGTTTTGGATGTCATATTAAAAGCTTTGTCCCTTCTGTTCTTTCCATTGTCAACTTGCATAAAATATTATGATGCCGGTCAGCAGAGACATAATTATTTTCAAATGTGTTGGAAATAGTAAGTGTTGTAACCTGATGTAATTGCTTGTAATGTGATGTTTTACTGTGCTGTGTGTGTGTTTCATGTTAACATTTACCCTGAGGGTGAGTGTTGTGTGAATTGTCGGCTTCTCTGTTTGTGTTTCTGCTGCTTCTCTTGGGTAGTAGGCTAGCTAGAAAGTGAAACCACAAAAAGAGTGTGTCTGTCCTCTTTAAAGTATGGCTCAGAAATCCACGGTCTGTTACAACATTAAAATAACAGCTGGGTATTATAAACTGGAAGTTATACATTCTTTCAAAATTTTTTGTAGGCCAACATTTGTGGTGCACAAATAAGTCTAAAATATTTAAAGCTATAAAGGGTTTTCTATCCCTGGTCCACCAGCAATATTTCATTATATTCAATTTTTCAATATTTTATTATTGCTGGTTCTCAAACACATAAAACCCAACATATGCTGGTATAACCATAAGCATTATGCTGGTCACACTGTGTCACGCCCAGCTCCGTACGGTCCTCGTGTGTGCCACGCCCCCCTCATTACCTCGTGTGAATCCCCGATTGTGATCACCTGTTGCCTGTTATGTTCAACCTGTCTTGTGCATTTAGTCCGTGTCTCAGTTAGTTTCCCCAGATCCGTCATTGTAGTATCCTTAGATGTCCCTACCTGTCTGTCCTTTGCTCATTAAAACCCCTGATTACTCGTCAGTTTGACTCGCTCTCCTGCTTCCCTGCTTGCCTTCTTGTGCAACGTGACACAGTGTTTTTAGAGTTACTATTTTTCATCTCTTAAACTTATGACATTGGTATGTTTTACTTGTTTGCTCTGAATTCTGTGGATAGTTATTTGTGCTTGTATGTGAGTCTGATACGAGGGTGAGGTCACCTTCTAGTGGCTGAGTGCCTCCTCAAGATGGAGACGTGGTTCTTCAGGTTAACGGAAGCCCAGGGCAGCTACATCTGTATGCATTCAAACACTGAGGCCTATTCACCTGCATTCCATGTTTTTAGAATGGAAACGGCCCGAGTGAGAGTACCAGCATACAAATAGTGCAGGGGCTGCATTCACACTTGGAGTATGTTAGTATAGTACACAGTATGTATGTAGTACGCAAATTTTGTTCTAGTTCATATTGAACAGTTGGCCCTGATCTTATTGATCTGTGATGCATCCATCTCTTTATTCCATCTTGACCCCAAGAACAGATGTAGTTTTCCTTTGACCTAAGAGTTAAAGAGCTACTGAGAATGCATAAAATTGAATGCTGTCACACTCATGCAGTTAGTATGATTAAAGCAATATCACTTTCGTTTTTGAGAATCTCGTAAAACGACATTTTTTTCCCCAGGGATAGGCATAGTCGCATCGCGACAGGCATCTTATTTTCCTCAGTCTGCAGTGTCGAAAGCATGGCGTCCCGAGAGCGGGTGGTCATCGGCGTGGTGGTGGCCGTCTTGATCATCATTGTGTGCATCGTTGTCGCAAGGCATGCATCTAAGCATCAATGCTTCGGAAACGCGGCAGTGGCTTCAGACTCTCTGACGTGCTCTGAGATCGGCAGGTAAGTTAACGCATTGCTCCAATACTGCTGTGCAGTGCAAAGAAAGTTAATCCCAAATGTTACCATTTTAAATATGATTTATAAGTAGCTGGCCTGCAGAATTCGTGGTAGACTGATGTGTGTCTTAGGTAGGGCTGGACTGGGATTAAAATCAGCCGGGGACTTTGGGGCTCCCCACAGCTGGGGGGGGGTTCCCCATGATTGATTATGCCGACTGTGGTGGAATGCCTGACGGGGGGTTCATGTGATAACTTTTGCCAAGTGATCAATTTTGCTGACTGGGGGGTCCTCTATGATTATTTTTTCTGGTCCACACGTCGGCTCCCCGGGAAAATGCCTGGTAGGCCAGATGGTCAGTCTAGCCCTGCTGTCAGGAACATGTTTATCCAGCTTAACTAGTTCATAAACATTCTGGAGTCTATGGTTGAATTTATCCAGCTCTTCTAAATAGAATTTTTTTTTGTCATAGTTATCATCAATGACCTTTATTTTCAGACTAAAACGAGACGATAACTAAATAAAAATGATTTTGCGAGGCCTAAGACTATGACGAAGTATATTGACAATTTCGTCAACGAATAAAAACAAGCCGAAAACGTTTGCCAGAGACGAGATACAATCAGAACTAATGTAGTTCGCGTAAGGCAGGAGTAGTCAACAAAAATTTAAAGAGGTCCAGTTAAAGAGAGTTTCTTGAAGCAAAGGTTCGGAAAATCATAATGTCTAACTATAAATGTAATAATGTAATAAATAAATTCAAAGCTATCACATTAATCGCTATTAGAGTAGGATATGGTCTTATTACTTCGAAAACGTATAAAACGTGACGTGTTTTTCTCATAACCATTTTATATTTGTCGGAGTAACAACGCAAACAGAATGACGAGCTATTTCAGGCGAAAACAGCGCATTTTACTTTTCATTTCAAATAAAATGCGGGGTTGTCAACTTCGGCCAACAGGCTGGAGTGAGATTTTCAATTTGAGATGTCTGCACACATATGTAACAGTTCTTACCTGGTAAATAGTCGGCTGTAAATAGTATGCTTTACACTTATGACATAGCTAATTTTAGGTTTATAATGGAATAATGTAGATTTGCCGTAAGATTTCCTGCGTGAGTCTGAAAGCGTGAGTTTCATTCCAGATTCTTGAGATTTGGCAACCCTGAAAACGTACATTTTTTGTTTCACCTGAGTTGATTTATATAATAAATAATATTACTTTATAAGTGGAAACTTCAACGAACGTGAAATCACCAATAAACTACGTCTACAAATATTTATTTTTATATTTCTATTTTAATATTCAGAGAGAGCAGGCCTGGTGGCATTATAACCTATGCAGTTTGAAGTGATTTTATTTTTGCACTAATGGCACTACTGATTTTACAGTACTCAGTTTCCGGGTAAATAAGCATATGTTTGTGTTTCAAATAAGAGTGAAATCTGTGTCTTTGTGTACTGCATAGTCAGACCTTAACATCATTCCTTAACATTGATTTCATTTCATCTTGGTGAACATAACGACTTTCAGAAATCGAAGGGAAACTCTAAACATTACACTTTGCACTTTTAATTTTAGTCGACTAAATCAACTGCAGTTTTAGTCGACTGTAATCTTATGATATTTAGTCAACTACAGCTAGACTAAAACTAAAATAATTTAGATGACTAAATTATGACTGAAACTAAATTACATTTTAGTCAAAAGACTATGACTAAAACTAAATGAAAATTTGCTGCCAGAATTAACACTGGTTCACAGAGCTATTGCTGCATCCACACTGACTTGTCCCAGGCAGCATATTTTCCTAGTTTTGGCACAAATTATCTGTGTACATCGAGAAGGTGTGGAAGGTTTTCAAGTTCAAGAAGAATACATCTCTATAACCAAAGCACTTTGCTTCTCTTTCCTGCCTTGGCGCAGGGACATCCTGAAGCAAGGAGGCTCGGCAGTAGATGGCGCCATCGCTGCACTGCTCTGCATTTATCTGGTGAACCCACACAGTGCAGGCTTGGGCGGAGGGGCTGTATTCACCATCATGGAGAAGACAGGTATGACCATCCATGACCCTCCCAGACCAGGCTGATTCACTCACAGCCAGATTGACCCCTGTGTTCATCGGTTTGCTGTATGTTGCATAAATTATCAGTTGGTACTCCTCACCTTTACTGCTGTACCAAGGAATGCAGCTGGAATGTGCCTGGAATGGTCACAGTGAAATGCAGCCAGCCCTTCATTCCACTGTACAAGGTGCATAGAGGGCTTTTTTACGTATGTGGGAGATTTGAGAACTGATACCAGTCATGTCTTATATTCTTTCCTGATGGGAAGCCACTCTTCATCACTTCAGCCACTCTTTTGACTTGTTGCTGAGTGAGAGCCATAGCATGTATCAAGTCCTTCAGTACAACATTGTTAAATTATAAGTGCGACAGCTTTGGCTCCAGCCCCAAAATGGAACCAGGGTTTGAGTTCTTATCCCATAATGGATCTTAAAGAGGAACGTTTCCCAGTCTGGTCCTCGGGGACCCAAAGACAGTCCACACATCTAATGACTCTCCTTGGTTTTTACAAGTAATGGCAGAAATGCAGCTTTCAAATCCCCTTCAAATTGCTGGGGAAATGTGCCGTCTGGTTTAACCCAGTGGGATATAAGAAAGTCCACTGACAGCTTACAGTGCCTAACTTACTATTTATAAAATGATGTTTGAGGGTTATAGGGTGTTGAGCGGAAGAGCTGTTACAGACAGGAGAAATGGCTGACCTCCCCCAGATCTTCACCAGACCTTCCCCAGACCTCCACCAGACCTCCCCCAGACCTCCACCAGCTGCCGAAAGACTGAAGTCTAAAAGAAGACCCTGTGCTTCTCAATTTCCCAAGTTTATAGGGTCAACTGGAAGCCTCACTGTCTTCAGTAGAATGATCCAAATGAAAGTTCCCTAGCTACACGGCCACTGCTGAGTGCTGCTCTCAGGTGTGCATTTATAAATCACTTCTTCTTTCCTCTTTTTCAGGCAAGGTCAAGATCGTTAATTCTAGGGAGACGGTACCTGCGGAGTTAAAACCTGATCTGATGAAGGATTGCTCAAAGGGCTCACAAGGTACACAAAAAAGACAAGAACAAAAATACTTGTAAATAAATAATTCCTATTTATTTGTTTGTTTGTTTATCTGTCCATTTATATCTCTATTTCTTTGTTTATTTAAAAGCATATCACGTTTCAATTGCTTATACTTAAATTGTAAATCATTGGTGCAAATAAAAAACACTGAATCTGATATATTAATTCCAAGGACTGAAATTAATCTTCAAGCATGATATATTTTTGTGACCTATGAGGCTCTCTGTCGCCCCCATTAGGCAGTCAGTGGATAGGCGTGCCGGGGGAGATCCGTGCCTTTGAACAGGCTCACAATCTGTATGGGAAGCTGCCATGGGCTAAGCTGTTTGAGCCTGCCATCAGACTGGCCCAAGACGGGGTTCCTGTGTCCGCCTACCTTGCAAAACTCCTCCAGAGGGACGATATTAAACAGCGAGTGGAAGGATCCCACCTATGGTACAGCATGAATATCCCATGTGGACATTTTCATTGGTTCATGTTGTTTCCTTAGAAATAGGGAGCACCTTTATATTCTGTTGTTTGAAGGTTTATGATGGTCTGAGAACTTCCTGTGTGCCAGAGCATCTAGCAAAAATAGGAATATACAGACACCCACCAATAAAAACACAGGCTTTTCCTAGTCTGTGGTCATGAGACTGACTGTTCATCATCTTTACTATGTGATTAGAAAGTAGTTATATAGGTCATTGACTCTTATGGCCCATTTCCTTTATAATGACAGGAAACCAGACCCTGGGATTCCTGTCACATGACCTGGGCATCTTATTCATTTATTTACCATTACAGTGACATTCTCTGCTATGGGAACAAGACAGTCTTTCGGCAAGGAGCCGTCATGAGGTTTCCAAAGCTGGCAGAAACCTTTGAGAACATAGCAAATTATGGGGCCAATGCTTTCTACACGGGCAGAATCGCGCGTGACTTGATCCAGGAGATAAAAGAAGCAGGTAGTTTAAATAGCAGCATTTTGAAGTCCTACTGGATACACATAAGCATTGTCCTGTGTGTGTGTATTTTTAAGATAACGACTTGTAATTTGGAACTCCAATTTGTAAAATAACAGGATGAAAGGATGGAGAATCATTTTCAGCAAATTAAAACATTAAATATACCAAGCACTCTTTGTAAAAGGATATTTTTAATCACTGGTCCTTTAGGGGGAACATTAACAATGGAAGATCTGAGGTCCTTTCAGGCAAAAGTGACTGATGCATGGACAGTTCCAATAGACGACTATGTCATGCACTTCCCACCACCGCCAACAGGGGGGGCTATTCTTGCCTTTCTCCTGAACATCATGAAAGGTGAGTTGTCTTTTTCATGGTTACATAATAATTTTTAAACTATATACATTTAGGTTATACAATTACATTCTTGTGTACAGATATTGCCATTATACATATTTAATATACTCACACATATTTTTACTATAATGATCGTTTAATTTTGTTTTTCATTCTTTCTTCCCCTTCAGGGTACAAACTCAGCCCTTCTTCCCTTGAGGGTGACCAGAAAGCACTAACCTATCACCGCTACATCGAAGCCCTCAAATTCGCAAATGCTCAACGGAAGAAGACTGGTGACCCTGACTTCAATCCTGGAGATGTAAGGAGCGGTTTTCACTAACCAAGCCCTACAACAGGCTCCTGGCACTGGCATCAAGGGACAGTGATGTCCGCTCACTTTATAGACATGTCCACATGCTGTCCAGCAAAAGGCTGTTCACATCCCAACCAGTCTAATCACACGATGAAGGACATGGACCCTCATTCTTAATTCCTTTCCCAGGAAGCCGCTCATTTGATTGAAGAGGCGTTTGCAGATCGAGTGAGGGCCATGATCAGCGACAGCAGAACCTACAACCCCAACTACTACAATGTCACCCCTTCCTTGGACCGCTTCGGTACCACCCATGTGTCAGTTTTGGCTGCCGATGGCTCTGCGGTATCAGTCACCAGCACCATCAATGACAAGTGAGTTTGACACTCCTACGTTTAGTGCCATGTGATAATTTTGGCTCCTCTCTGTAGCCTGCTACAGGCATCCAGTTTATGGCTGAAAAGCTTACCTGGTAAATGGCTGAATTTTGTGATTCGGTTTTGCATGCTCTGTACAGAATTTCAGACAAGGCTGTGCTGAATTGCTATCCTGTTCCACCGTTTGGGACTCCCTATTACATCACAATTGTGAAAGTGGATTGGTTCTGCTTGAGGCCCACCATCTCTGAAGGGGGGGCAGCTGCGGAAAATGTCCCGAGTTGGGACCCAGTTGAAGTAATTTTGTCTTGGGCACGGGAATAATGCGAGGCAGGCCTGTTTAGCTTAATCCCATCAGTTCAGTTGGTGGCCACACTGTATGCATAAAGAAACCTGGCTGACTCTATAATCTGGTTATACAGACACTCCTCACTTAACGACCCATCAGTTAACAGCCGCCCGGATTTACGGCCAGCTCTCTGACCAGCCAGTATTGCATGCTGTATGACAATTTTGGCTGTGGGAACAGCAGCGTGATGTCTCAGCGTCAAGCAGTCATCTCACATCACTCTTTCTCAGTCTCAGTCTCAGTCTCGTTCCCGCAGTCGGTCAGTATTCACTACACTAACGTTCGCAGTCCCCAAGACTACATATTCGTCTACAAATCTGTACTTTATTTTGCACCCCATAGTGCGAAAATAAATAAAGATGATTATGTGCTACCTGTAAACATTTATAAATACATAAAAAATGTTAGAAATGGTGTAAAGGTGACATTAAAACAATATCTAAAGATGGTTGACACAAACCCACTATCAGCACAGTATGCTTGAGACATCAGTAAGGGGTGTCTCCCTGCTTATCGACCAACTCACTTTACAACTTAGTCGTAGGAATGGAACTCGGTCGTTAAGTGAGGAGTGTCTGTATTATAATCGTCTTGTGTTCTGTGCCTCTTTGTTTCATCCCCCACTTGTTCTGTCAGGTCTTTGGTCACCATGAATAAATCTTTGCTTTAAATGTGCTGAGGGAGTCACACGCAGTAACCCTTATACTTCTGCTCGGATCAAAAGAACCAATTAATATGACCTCCAATGACTTTCGACAGTCCGGTATGAACCTTTCTGAGTAGATTAGCTGGGTTTAAGGTGTATCTTTACAGGGTCATCTTTTCCACACAGGTTCGGCTCTGGTGTGTACTCATACAGAACAGGGGTGATCCTCAACAACGAAATCGCTGATTTCTGTGGGATCAAGGACAACCTGAACACCAGTAGGATCGGACATATGCAGATTACGTTGACACAGTTTGCAGATCCTCTTTATACCATAGCAAAGTACATCAACAGAGTCAAATACGGCCATGTAAATACTGTAGCAAACATAGGATTTATATCAGTAACACAGTGCTGGAGTGTGTAAACACGGGTATGGTCATGGTGTGAGATACCAGGTGGTGATGTCATTCTCAGGAGAACAGCCTCCTTCCTCAATGGCCCCGTCGATACTCTACTCAAAGGCTAAGAGTAGGACAATGGTTATTGGAGCATCAGGAGGCACCATGATCACCACAGGAATAGCCATGGTAAGGGCTGGGAACCCTTGGGTACATTGTACCCCATTGTCATGTAGCCTTTGGGGTTCTGTCACCGGAACCCCCAGTTACCCAGCTCAGGGTGTTGCCTTTTTACCCACCCAGGCCCTGATGAACCACCTGTGGTTTGGGATGGACCTCAAAGATGCCATCGCTGCTCCTGTGCTGTTTGTGAGACAGAACACTACAGAAGAATATGAGCAGGGTTTTGATGAGGTAATGCAGGCTTCCTTATGTCTCCAATGGGGATTTTGTTTTTTTTGTGTGACAATGCAGCAAACAACCAACAAAAAAACAGCAGATAAGTTATTACAATTTTTGCTTAACTCTCCCATTTTTACAGAATGCACTGCATGACAAAATGTCGCTGTACTTCAGCAAAGTTACACATTTTCACAGAAGTAAATGAAGCACTTTAGACTTGAGTTTGCGACACCAGGAAATGTTCATCTTCCTGTTTGTGCCCTGCTTGTTCTTTCTCCTTAAGACCGTCCTGCAGGAGCTGAAAACCTTCGGACACCATAGCCAAGAGCTGGCGACAGTCCGCAATGTGGTCAATGCTGTGGTTATGGAAGGCACCTGCATAGTAGCCCAGTCGGATGCCAGAAGGATGGCGGAAGCTGCGGGCTACTGACCCAGCCAGGAACGTGACTTTATATGCCTGATGAATTGTAACTTCAGTTTGGTTAACAGGTTTCCAAGCGCCTTAGGTCGTACTGACTGCTTGAAGAAGTTGTACGCTCATGGGAGTTTCTCATACACAGAAATGTTCTGAGGGCAGAAAGAAATATGATTGGTTCTGAGAGATAATCAATCAGATTGTACAGGAGGTGGGTCCAAGCAAACTAGTGGAGGTGGGACAAATCAATGTATTGGTCTTGCCTCCTCAAGTTGCTTGGACCCTCTTCCTCTACAATTTGATTGGTTATCTCTCTGAGCCAATCACTTTCCCTTCTGCCCTCAGAACATTTTGTGTAAGTAAAACTCCCATGAGCAAAATGTACTTAATCACCACATGATAAAATTTAAGAATATTTGCGATGCTTTCATTTTAGTTGGGAAATTTGGTTACGATCTTAAATTTGGTTGCACAGTTACAAAGCTGACTAGTGCGCTGTAAAAAAATGTATGACCATATTTTTTATTATAATTGTGTATTTTAACGTATTTCCATATATAGCATCACCATTTAATGAGTACATCTCATTACTGCACCTTTGCATAAGCAGTTTGTAGACAAAATATTAGGTAATGGCTGCACCCAATACCTGTAACACATAAAGTAAGCAAGATGGGGGGTTTTTGCCACCACCCCCCAGTGCCAAAATCAAATTCTACCTACGTATAAAAATACATAATATAGATATATAAACATGCATTATATAACAGTTCACGTTGTATTTTGACTGTTGTTCTGTTGAAGTGATGTCATTTTTTTATGCGAGATCCTCCCGAAAAAGGGACTGGGGTATAATTTCTGTGTTATAAATTAATTGAATTACAGGCATAAAGGTTTAGCAGTTGGTAAAGCTATCGGCACAAATACATTTGCTGTGTTGGTTGTCCCACTACATGTTTGCTGTTTCTTACCAGATGTCATTTATGGAAACCCACAATACCTGCGTAGGCTACGTATACCTATTTATATTTATACCTACGTATACCTATTTATATTTAAAGCTATTTATACACGGAAATGACTTTATTGGACCTACTGAAGTGCATAACACGCATCAGCAACGCATTCCTGCCAGCGTACGTCAGTAACTACAGCTACCGAAATGTATGACGGTCCTCCCACCCAACAAAGTACGTAAATGCCATATAAGGATGTTCCTTTGGGAGAAGAAATACGTTTGCACTCTTTTAGGTTTTTTTAGGTGGGGGTTGAACATAGAATCTGAAAATCCTAACCATGACGAATACCAAGAATAAAAAAATGTATGTAGCCGAAACTAAACGATCTTGGTTTTATAAAAGAGAAATTCTTTGGTACTACCGAGAGACGTAATTGATTCAATTAACGCTGCAAGAGTGTGAGGAGGAGAATTCATGCTTTCTGCAAATCATTAGTTTCCTATAATATCCTGGTGCAATTTTACGGCAGTAAGTAGTTTAGAAGAAGAAAATGAACGACTTTACATTTGCATTTAAATCATGAAAGACGAAAGTGCTAATTTTATTACTTCTGGTAGCGGGTGTTGGCTAGATAAGGAATAGCCAATTGCTGAATGTCAGTCCTTCTGATATTTATATCTCTTTTATTGCGAAGCAAAGGGGTTTGATCAGCAGGTTGTGCCACGGCGGCCCTTCCGTGCGTGTCTCCGCAGTGCAGTTTTTCCGCATAAACTGTGACGTTTTTTTAAACCATTTTTTTCTGGAATATAAAAGTTGCTTGTTTCTGGATATAACTTGACTTTGGCAGTATTTCAGTTATTTTTCTGCTGTGCAGACAGACTCTGTTGCATACCTCCATGCATACCCACCCCGCAAATCCTCCACAGATGAGGTCTGGTAGCTATATGTAACAGGACCCCAATGCAGTAGAATGCAGGGGTGCTAGTGCTTAGGGACAGAAACCCATATGTCCTTAATACAGAATGTGGGCAAAAAGACCAACTTGTGAAATGACTAATTAAGATGGTTTTGGTATCTTGGCCCACCCCACCCCAACAGAATAAATGAAGCTGTAGAGATTTTGCAGACCATCATTGATAACACACTCAGTCTTTCACTGGACATGCACACCTGAATAATTAATATATTTTCATCCTTTTTTAGGCATGACCAAGACCATAAACTCCAGGAAGACCATCCAGGGGAACTTAATGCCAGACCATTGCATGCCAGAAACACTGAGAAACACTTGACAGATTGATACATATCTCTCCTGCCCTTGGTTGTATGGGTAGACTTTGCATGTCTATGGCGTGTTTGCATGAGCTCCAGCCCACTCTACAAAAACATGCATTTAAACTGTATCGGTGTCTCAAAATTAATTTTCTTTGCATATAATGCTTGACACACTGCCATTCCTAGCCCTTAAAGTAGAGGTACACTTAGCAAAGGTATAGATTAATCCTTGAACAAAAAGACCAAGAACAGAGTGTACTGTCCTGATCTATTACTAATTTCTCATCTGTTCTACAGTTTTATTGATCTGTGTGTTAGAGATGCGAGTTTTGTTTCCTATTCAGGGGAAAGGCCTCCATCTTTAATGGCCTCATCTACACTCAATTTGATGTTGAACTTACCACAAAATGTCTGTACCTGAAATCACTTTCATAAAAATCTCATAGAAACATACTGTCCCCAGTGTCTGGATTAATACAGAGTACTGTGACATTTGGCATCAATCGTCAGTGAGAGAAGATTGTATTGAATGTATTTGTATCTTGGTGATATGCAGAGAAGCACTTAATAAGGGATTTTTAAAATAGCATGAATATACATGTATCAGACTTCTGTGTCATTAATCCATGGGCTTTAATATATGGCAGCACTGGATTTTCTGCGGGAGAGGGTGTCAGATGATTCAAGCTTATTTCGGAAGGCTGTGTTAATGCATGTAAATCCTACGTAATGCACGTTGCTAATTTTACTTAAACTTAAGTAAATAAACCAGAAGTTAGACGATTGGAGTTGTTTCCTTAAGCATGAAATTTCATTATCAATAGAATAAAATGTGAGGATGAAAGAAAACAAAATAAAAATGTTACTGTTAAAACAAAGAACACACCACTTCCAGTGTGTTTCTACAATTCTTTATTAATTAAACGAAACTTTTTACTACTTATGTTCTACCATACTGATCCGTGTCGTTAAATGAAAGATATTGTGCTGAATTTCGTAACAACTTAATCGCCTTAACAACAGTCTCATCACCTCTGTGTGGAGACACGGTTCTATGTTTTTTTTGGTACAGCCACAAGTTTCGCGCATTTAGAAACGACCAAACGACAGCAGCTGAGTCACACGCCCCCTGCAGAATAGCCGAGCGCACATTAGGAACACGGTGTATCTGTCAAACAGGAGCCCCGCAAGTTTCAAGGAGGCAGTCGTGCGGCGAGCATCCGAATCGTGAGCATAGACTGTAAGGGTAGATTCATAATTGCGCCTGATTTGTATAGACATGGAAGACTTAAAAATACTAAATATATTAGGGGTGTAACCATGGATATTAAGTAGACCACAAACCACGGTATCACACCGTATGTTGAATGAAATCTTCACTAAGACGTGGTTATACCGCGAAGCGGCCAATAGTGGCTCGAGCTATGCATATACCGTCATGCTTTGCGCCACACTGTCACTGTAAATAATCAGCAAATTAATGTGTATAATTGTGCGTTTGTGTTATAAGTAGGCCGCGTTGTTGTGTTGTAAGTGTAAGTGTTGTAAACAAATGTAGTGATTTTACTGAAGTGTGTTTGGTGCCTAGTGATTACCCTGAATGTGTTTATTGTATAAATTGTTGACTTTCCTTGTCTGTGCAGTGTGTAGTTTATGAAGAGGGGGCTTCATTAGGCTTAGGAGTTGTCTTTTTTTATATTAAAGAGATCCATGATCTGCACAAATCCTGTGACATTGGTATCAAAAGTGGGATCTTAGGGTGAAATTTAGTTAGAAATTGATGATTTGATCTGGTAACTTTAGCACTACAGAGTACAGACCACTTAGTAGAGGGAGGAAGCAGCAGCAGAAGACCCCAGGAATCTAGCATTGTGCTTTGTGAGTGGTGGGGCAAAGACAGCCGTGAAGCCCTACCATGCCTAAGTACATCTCATTGGATGAAACGTAAAATGGAGGTCCTGACTCTCTGATGTCATAAAAGATCTCTGGGGATCTTTCAAAAGAGTAGGGGTGGTACCCCGATGTCCTAGCTAAAATTGCCCACTGTGACCCTATCAGATCTGGCCTCCTAATTATCCCCTATATCTAACTGGTGAATTCTCTCCTGCCCATTCACCACCTTAGGTACTGTGTGGTGAGCATACTGGTACAGAATGGCTGCTGTCACATCATCCAGGTGGGGGCAACATAGTGGTGGTGGTTGAAGCAACTCCTCATTGGTTCTGTAAAGCACTTTGGGTGTCTTGAAAAGTGCTATAGAAATGTAGCTTTCATTCATTAGGTCATTGTGTGGTACGACAGCTAATCCTCCACGGAGACGGTGGTCCACCTGGCACTGCAAGCCTCACCTCAAATGAGCAGCAGGATTACGGTGCTCCAGTTGTAGCATCGGAGCAGCATTTCCACCTGCAACCATTGGAGGAGACCATGAGGGAGAAGCTGGCAAGTCAGTGGAGACAGGAGAGCGGGAACCCCGGGAGCAATTCCCTGTCAATCTCTGCAGCTATGCATGGCAGGATTACATTTCCCGTTGGTTGTGGAAAACTCGCTGGCCCTCCATGTCTTTGTCAAGGCATCAACACCAGAGTGGTGTCACCAGCACATCCAGCTGCAAGCACACATCAGACTGGCTGATGCCTTGGCAGAGGCAGAGAGGGCTGAAGAAATCCTGTCTCCACCAGCAACCACACACTAACCACCAGCCACACCAGATAGCACGCCATGAATCTGTACTTGCAACTCTACGAGCCCCGGCAGGAGAATGAAGGTGAGCTGCACTGTGTTAGAGCCCTTTCCCACCAACAAGCCTCTGCCCCTGTGCCATGAAGTGGGTCAGCTGAGTCACAAGTGGGGCCTCTACATGAACCGCGTCATGAAGGGCACCCTATGCGAAGCCCTGGAAGGACACCCAGCCCGGCCATATTCCCAGTCACCAATCAGTAAACCCCACTGGGGTGGGAGCAGTGAAGATTGAATGACATCACCGTATTGACATGGTTTTGCTCCTTAGGACTCCATACTGAATGACATCACTGGATTGACATGGTTTTGCTCCTTAGGACTCCATACTGAATGACATCACCGGATTGACGTGGTTTTGCTCCTTAGGACTCCATACTGAATGACATCACCGCATTGAGGTGGTTTTACTCCTTAGGACTCCATACTGAATGACATCACCAGATTGAGGTGGTTTTGCTCCTTAGGCCTCCAAAGTGGCTATTAGCAAGTCAAGCTGGCTCATGCCCCACAGAGCCATTGCGTTGTCTACTTGGATGTTCTGCTCACCCATGCTGCCGCTTAACAATTTGTGGACTGTCTTCACTTCACTCGTGTCCATTCATAAGGCTAGCCTGTGTCTCAACCCCCGTAAGTGCTCCTTCCTGCCCTGAAAGACGGAGTTCCTGGGTCATGTAGTAAGCGGTGAGGGCGTGGCAGTGGATCCAGGATAGATTACTGCAATGAAAGACTAGTTGACGCAACAAAGTATTGCAGAGCTCCACACTTTCATGCGTCTCACCTCGTACTACCGGTGGTTTGTATGAGACCTTCAAGCACTGCCAAGCTGCTCCACTAACTCACTGAAAAGGGGCGGCCCTTCAAGTCATCTGGAGACTGCACCACTGCCTTCAATTGCCTGAGATCTGCACTCATGGATGCCCCAGTGCTGGTGTACCCCAATCTGGCACACCCTTACATCCTTCACACAGACACCATCAATGAGGGGCTCAGACATCACCGGTAGGACCTCTGGGTGAAAGGGTTCTGGCGTACTTCATCCGAACATTCAGCTGCCCCAAATGGGACTACTGCATGACCTGGCACAAACTCTTTGCAGTCATATAAGCCTTTCACCACTACCGCCCCTATCTCTGTGGATGGTGCTACAAACTGTGTACTGACTATGTATCCCTCACCTATAATTGCCAAGTTTCCACAACCCCAAGGGACTGTTGGCGCACTGGCTGAAGGTCCTCCAGGGTTACAACTCTGAGATCCAGCACCGGTCAGGCAGGCTTCATGGCAGTGCTGACATCTTCTCTTGATGCCCCTGCTAGATGTACAACTGGCATCACTGTTGCTCCAATGAGGAGCAGAGCTAAAGGTGCAAGGGACTAGATAGATCACCACCATCTGCGAATGGAGCAGATGAGCAAACCTGTGCTGACCTGAGTCAAGGGTTGGCTGCAGGCAGGGCAGCAGTCAGAATGGAGGGAGGACTTTGCACTCAATCAATAGACTAAGGTCCTTTACTTACAATAAGGGACCATCGAGGAGCATGACAGGCTTTTCCCGGATGGTGACTCCCACTTGCTGCAGCTGTTGGTGCCCTGGAGCCTTCGACCCATGTTCCTGTGGTTAGTGCATGACGCTACAGGAAACGGACACTTTGGAGCAGCAAAGAGGCTGAGGAAGCTGCAGAGTCATTGCTATTGGCCCCACTGCAGCCAGGATACCGAGCTGTTCATCTGCTGCAGTGATGCATGCACCACCCAGAAGCAGCCAAGTCACCAGTCCAGAGCGCCAATGAAGGCGTATTAAGTGGGGCCGCCGATGGAGAGGGTTGGGGTGGATGTGTGGGTCCATTTTCCTGAAGTGACTCTGGGAATTGCTACATATTTGTGGCTATGGATTATTTCCCACAGTATGTACAGCGCAGACTGTCCTTCCAACGTTCCTGACAATTTCATATGCCAGAAGTGTTTAGTCATAGTAGAGTTGGAGGATAGGATTCATGCTTTGGAGGAGTGCATTAGAACCTTGGTGGAGATTAAGCAGACTGAGGGATTTTTTGATACAGCTTAATTGGAGTATACAGCCAGCTTGTATCTGGCCATAGACCCTCCTGCCACAATTCCAGTCTGGTGCCAGCACACGCGAGCCCTGGGTCGCGGTCAGACGTGGTCCTAGGAGCTCTGCACCGAAAGCTCCTGCACACCAGTCAGCTGTTGCATCAGGCAACAGGTTCTCTGTTTTCAGCAGTGCATCTGCCATAGTGGGAAAAGGTGTTCATAATTTCTAACAATTGTAAAACAGTAGCTCCTGTAAAATGTCTTCTCAAAGTTTCCGACCAGTCCACCTTGCTTGGTCACACTGGGACTAACGGTATAAAGTCCCTTCAATCCGAGGTATTAAAGAGGAACTTCATTTTTATGTGTGTTAAAGCTGAAATAAAATGTCGGAATCTAATTCTCTCTGGTCTGAAGCTATTTGGTCTGATTCTCTCTGGTCCCTACTATAGTTTACATCTTATAGAGGGGAGGTAACCTATAGTAGGCTACTTTCAATGTATGATGGTCCCACTATTTTGAAAACACACTGTTGCACATACTTCTCTGCGTTGCACATTCCCATTGATGATGATGAAAAATACATACAAACACGTTTTTTACTCCCCTTTTCCCCCAGTAACACTAGGGACAGCATCCTGTGATGTCATTTCCTCTCTCA